TGGATGCAAATGAGCACATGAGGTAAGTCTTACCTCTGAATACTACGCTCCTCCATCGATATGATGGATGGCAGAAATTCTCGAAAATTCTTTCTACAACCATACAATCTGGATGCTGCAATGGGATCTCGGAAGCGCTTACAGAGTAAAAGCTGGGAGTAGCTAAAACGGGAGTGTCGCGTGGAAGTTGAGGAGACCATCACGCTTGTGGCGGAGGGGATACCGGCTTTTTGGGGGAAACGTAAGAAGTAGCCTTGGCTCCTGGAAAAGAACTATCGAGCAGTCAGTAAGATCGAGGGACATGGAGAGCCAGAGACTCTCATCAAGAAACAGTGGCCGCTGGAAGTATTTGTCGCTAGGCCTCACTCTGAGCCTCGATTCTGGGCCAAAATAGGTAAACCAGTGTAGCCTTACCGGGCAAATTAGTAGAAATTCGTTGCGTGAAACAGTCTTACCCTTGATCGGCAAGGAACGAGTCATTGAATTTACGGGCTTCTGAGGTCAGAATGCTAGCATTCTTCGCAAGCATGCATTACGTGTTTTCAGCTGGACAGATCCCCAGGGCCATGGGCCCAGCCATTCTCATCGATGTCTCAGGAGGGCCAGGCTACCTGTGATAAGGCTGACCAAGACACGGCCAATGCTTCTATCGTGCATGATGCCTGTCTCAACCAACATCCCAACAAGAAGGCCTTTGATGTGGGTGCTGTTGCGTCAGAATCAGTGTAATTTCGCAGTCAAGACACTGCAATGGCGATTTGCAACCGATTCATTCAGTGATGCTCTCCATGACTCGTAGTCTCTGGCTTGAGACAGCGGATATTCATGTCTCTGCTTGAAAAGCAGCCACAGCCACGAATCCCGACTTAAGAGTAAGCCCGGCCAGTCTCAGCCCTATGAACTTTTGTTATGCGCCGCGTCGCGTGCAGGCCTCCGCGAAAGCGCATTGGATTGGCTGATAGATTTCAAGAAGCCAAATAAATTTACATCATTCCAGATTCAAGAGGGCGATGCATTGCAGATCAGGTGACATGTGCAGAGACCAATGCAGCATCCGGTTCATAGCTTCCAAGGTCTTTGACGCCAATTGTCTTGATGGCTGCATATGAGGGTTAATTAACTCATGTAAGGTCGTAAAGGCGCATAATTGGAACTGGATTGTCAGGGTCTCCAGCTTTGCATGAAGCAAAGTGGTAATACGTTGTACATAACCAGGGCATAGGCACTGAGACAGCCGTCAGACCTTGCTGAATGAAGACAAGGTACTTGGCATGCTATTCCCCTGAAGTGGAGTTATTTATTTTATTCCTTGAGTCTGCTTCGGAACTTTCGAAACCTCTTTTCTGAAAGGAATGGCGTTCTGGGGGAATTTTCAGTTAGGGATAGGGAGAGAAGTGAGACTGCAAGCCCTATCCCGTCTCGGACTGTCTTTCTTGGCTTACACGGGACCTGTGAACAATACTGGATCGTGTAAAAGTTTCCCATCTGCATCGGCAGAATATGGATGTGTCATACATCAAAGCAGAGCTTTCGCCTCGTGGGCCCATGAAAGCCTCCAACCGCTCGACCTGGGATGCGGGTCACCGCATGGGCAGATTGGCCCCACCTCGGCCCGAGACGGGACCACAATGCGGCGAGTGGGGCCAGTGGAGAGTGCCAGGGTTATTCAAGGTACGGTACCCGCGATACCTCGCCTTAGGACTTTTGAGATGCAGCGCTGCATTGCTTTTGTGGACGAAACAACTAGAATTGAGATGCTAAAAAGCGACAATAGAGAAGTTGAAGATGTTTTAACCCAAAAATTTAGCACTTAAGTCGCACCTGGCACTGGTCTTTGCGCATGTCTCTTCCGCACATGATCATTGAACCTTCTATTCCATCAAGAATGCCTTCGACGACTCTTTGACAGGACCAGTGCCTGCCTCATTGAATCTCAGCCCTGAGTAAAAGCAGAGAAGGTGATCTCTTTTGTAAATGCCATCGCTGGTCGGGCAGGCTTTCCAGATTGACTGAAGCTCGGGTGCACTGGTACTTGGTACCTTGTCCCTAACTACCGTTTCGCAAGTGACCCGCTGTCAGACCTTAGGGCAGTCTCCCTCCACGTGCCTTCCCATTCTTGAAAGCATGTTCTACCTCAGCCTCAGCCGCGTGGCTTTTCAACGTTCACGGCGTCAAATGGGAAACTTTTCGTCTGCTTCTGGCAACGACATTGACGAATAGAGCGCTGCTCCAATATCGAGTACAACTAAGGGATCACTACTTGCTGCAGAAAGTTTCGACATGAAATGCGTCATTTTGCCCCTTGCTGAAGTTTCTTATCGACTTTTCTCATGGTATCGCGCGCACGAGCTTCGTGTCCTCCGGTCCCGTTCGGCACGCTCTGGCTGAGTCTTCGGTACAAGCTGGGATCCGTCTCAACAAATTCAGTGACACGGGACTGACACTGTGCGGCTTGGTACGCTGTATTCGCCATTGTTCTCAAATTGAGTTAGATTTCGGGTACCAACGGTCTAGGTAAGACATGGTAACGAACCTTGTCGTCGAAGCGCCGTTGACAAGGACGGAGACGTCTGAGGCAGGCATACTGCAACTAAGGAGGTACTTTTTAAGAGAGAGAGGGATTGGAAACGTATCGTCTCAATGGGGGTAATTTGAAAATAATTTGATCGCTAATTTGCTGGTGCAGATGACTCAATGTCAATGGTCTGCTCGAGGGGGAGAAAGCCATGGAGTTCATTGCAGGGTCGCACGTACTTATGGCTAACGGCTGATCGTGAGGCCAGGGCCAACACACTCACTCGCCCATCGTAGTGGAGAGGGTGAGTCCAAGAAGAGGAGCTCTGCAGTCACACAAGTTTTCAGGGCCTCAATCCCACGACAAAAAGGACAAAAGCCTTCGCAGCAGCCTCAAGTATGTCAGTGCTGTAGACCTAGTCCCAATGCCGAGCGTGGGACGAATCCTATTGGATGGAGCGCCACGTCGGTCAATTCGTCCAATTGGATGGAGTGCCACGTCGGTCAAGATCCCGCCCAAGGCCGTTTATGGGAAGAAAGAACAAGATCCCCAGGGTCATTTCGAAAAAGGAGTTGGACTGAGACTCGTCGGTTTCACCGGCCCTGCGTCTTCGAGGGACCGCTCAGGATCGTGGGAGGGTGAACTCGGACCATCGCTTTACCTACTAGTCCATCGGCCATTCTGGCCTCACATGACAAGACCGGCTGCAAGTTGCCTGCGGATGCCTTACGACGAGTTCATCGCCGTGGAGTTTCCAGCTACTTGGCGCCAACCTGTTCGGGCGGCTTCAAGGCGATTGGCAATGTATCCGTCAAGCTTCTAGCCTTCCCCGCGGAAGCAAGGCATGCATCCGGCACCAGCATGCCGGACACTCGAAAACCCACTGAGGTGCCATTCTCCCAGAGATAACCAGGTTCCGCGGTCACATAAACCATGCTCCCCTAACTTGCCAGCTCAATCGAGCCTGGCTTAGTGGTCAACAAGGAACTCTGCGCCAGTGGAACGGCCCATGCCGGGGCCACGTTGTTTTGCCCCAGGATGCTGTCGCCACACATCCACTTGCCTCTTTCGGTGTTCCGGAGGTAAAAGAATAGCTTTATCAGTTGACTCTGGGGATGTACGAATCGGATTTGGGAGAAAGAGCAACCCCATACTCAGGGAGTCTTGCGCTGCATCGGCACTGAACGGATACGTCCCTATTGGCGAGCGCAAGATGAGGCCAAGGATGACTACCTTTCCGCCGACACCCTTTTGCAATGGGAGATCTCAAAACGCCGCCTCCTTTGAATATGAGGCCCTACTCTCGCCTCTCGATCGACAGGCTGAATATTACATCGTGAGTAACACATCGAGCTGTATCACACCTCCTTGTACATGCATACTACGAACAAGCGGCAGGAGGAGGAAGAGTCAGGACTCCCAGGAGTAATGACAAATTTTGGGTGGTGCAAATCGGCACCCCATATTCATCACGGACTCCGCCTTGTTTGCGCCCTTGAAAGGATTGGGCGCTTTGAGCGACGTGCCACCGCCGGCTACTGCAACCAAACTCCCCATGTGCCCCCCAAGAGCCTGAGAAGACGCTGATGTCTTGTGAAATCGAGCTATGTCGAAAATCTCGGGTGCGACGAGCCGGAGAGGCCTTCGGCGAGTTAGGTCCGGGCCTAAAGCCGGAGCAAAAGGCTGGCCAGCAAGTCGTTGGCTTCGAGCCTTTGGAGTTGGCTTAAGCGTTTAGGCTTCATCCGTTCCGGCGCCGTTAAAGCTATGGTCTCACGTCATGACGTCGAGCGTCAAAAGCAGTACCCCTCATCGACTTCAGATGACAGGAAGTGCTTGAGCCCCCCCACACATCCGAAATATTCGGAGTCGCTCCCCAAGTCGTCCCCACGTCGTTTGCCATCGCACCTTGCGCGGTGAGAGGTCGCATGTCGGTGTAGCGGCATTCTTTTCGCTGGTGTGTCACAGCTTTGTGCATGTTGCACCTATTCGACTGCAACAAGATGATGCGCTTCAGATATTGTGCTCGGCCACGTTTCCTCGCAGGGGTACGGCCGTACTATTTTTTTGTAAGGACCGAGCTGCATATAAGATGATAAGGTCATGTCACAATATCAGTTTTCAGATCAGGTCATGCCTCCAATATGTCGCTTCACGATGATCCCCCCGCAAACACTCATCAGTGGTCCCTACTCGAAGCCTCGCGTTAATCCAGGCAACTTTTGGCGAAAAAGCGCTCGGCGGCGCGTGCAGTAGTCACCGCTACCTTCCACCGGTAAAGCAATTGAGGTTTGTGAATTCTTTTCTTCGCTTATGGGCATCAATATGTACAAGAAATGGGAAAGAATTCACCACGCAGAACTACTCCCGTCAGACCCCATGTCACCGGTGACTATCGCTAGCGCTCTCGGTCAAGGTGTGCGTATCCGCATCGGGAGCCCTGCAGACGGTTGGCTGGAGCCTGGAGGTGAAGTTCCGACGATGCGCTCTAGAAAAAAATGTCATTCTGGGCACCTGGCTTGAAACCCATCCTGGCGTTGTACCCGGGGCTATAACCGACATCCTGCACGTTGTTTCCTTCGGCTTCTACGAGAACGTCAGCACTTGGACTGGTGGAAAGGGGCGTCATCGCCGTTCGACAACTCACGATTCCAAGCAATCAGTTGCTTCGGTCCAGCGACACACTTTTTCGAATCATCTCGGCAAGCGACGGGCGGCTTAGCGATACCCAGTCGCTTCGTGGACACGGCGTTGGTAGGATTGCATTTGAAGTTTTGCATGTACCTTTTCGGCCTGTCAGTATCTTGCCCTTCGATCGTGCCTGGTTAAGGTGACTTACATGTTGGGCTGGCCACCTGCGATGAACGAGTCAGTCAAATGCGCCAAGGGGGGCTCATAAGCGAGGGTGATCTTACATCCATCTGGAATCCAGAGCCAAGCGCAGTAGCAGCCTCCCACCGGGCAGGCAGGCAAGTCCGGAACTCGGTACGAAGCTACGCGTTTCCAAGGCGTGCTGTTTTCGACTACAGTCAGTTGCTGACCATTCTTTGTCCAACAGGTCCCAACCTACTGCTCGACAACCGAAAAGACGACGAGGTTCTCCATTGTCACCTTTCTGATATCTGACTGATAGCTGATGGCGAATGCTGTGCCTGCCATGGTGGTATAGTTTTGCGTGTGCATCGCACCTCCTTTACCGTCCGGGTTATCGACGAGACACTTGCCCGGCACAGGCGCATGCCAGTCTTCTGGGTGTTCGCTACAGTCTGACCACTGCGTCGCGGTCTTGCCGCCGTAGGAAAGGCTCGTGCAGCCGCGGTTGGCCCCGAGGTCGACGCTGAACTTGCCCCTGGCGAGTAGGTTGAGGAACTGGCCTGGTGGAGGGGGCACGTTACCTTGTCGCATCCGTAGTCAGCTTGCATCCACCACTTGGATTTCGGGAGTTGGTAAAGCGGGTTGATCACAAGTTTGATTTTGGAATCGTCTACTATAGTGTTGCTGTCATCGGTTTGCTTAGCATTATGCTTATCACAAAGGACCATAGGTCGTGGCACTAAGAGACTCACTCGGCAATACATGCAATCGGCCTTAGCAGAAATGTGTCCCTCAACGATACCGGCGGAGACCAGCGCCGAACCAAGCCTAAGCGAGATCTTCATTGTATCTTGATGATTCCATGACAAAGACTATCTGTTGGAGGGGGACGACTGAGGCAGGAAAATCGTGGACAAGATCTAGAAAAGGAGTGGATGTGGAGCAGTTGCCGGAAAGGAATGAATCAGGCCTCGGGGCTTGATTTGAAAAGAAGGACAAGTAACGAGCGATGTGACCGGCTTGCACAAGACGACGGACTCAATGGAGCTTTTTGGGAAGTGACGAACACCTTATAAATATCGCAAGTAAGGGGACATCTGGGGGTAGTCGAGATTAAGGAAGTTGTGACGTTGACATCGTCTGTGCGGATCAAAAAGCTAGCCCGTGTCGTCTGTCTGGGCGTCTGACACTTTTCCTTCCCCCGAATCTCGATATGGCGCTAGATAGACCATGGCGGACAGGCAGCACTTGAGTTCGTTATTTTGGCGGTTATTACTAGCGAGGTTAAGGACAAGAAATACAGTAGAGGAGAGGCTTCGGATAATTTCAAAGTCTCATCGTGGGGTTTGCTTGAGGCAAGAACAATCGTGGATGCTTGAGATCGCCGGGGAGCCTGCTGAGGGAAACGAACGCAGAAGAGGATGCTGGGTTAATCACGCACCGGTACTGGTGATTGCAGCATCCGCACGCGCATAGAATGTCTTTTCATGAGTCAGAGAAACACATTGTCTCGTGCTTAGTCGACGACGGCCGATTGCATCGAGGCCGAAGCTACGATTTTCTTTACGTCGGCTCCGTGAATATTTACCGAGCCAACACCGCCCATCCCTCCCAGCTTATGTTGAGTCCCCCCACAATGCTCCATTATCCACGCGGCTAGGAGCAATGAGGCCGGTCTCGCCTTCTTGCGTCTTGCGTCGGCCTTGACCATTTATGGCAAACTTGTTCCCGTCAAGTGCTACAAGACTTCTATTTCAAGTCATTTCGAAAGGTGTCGAACGCCAAGTGGGAGGCATAATTTTGCCCTCCTCAAGACTCTTCACTGTAGCACTTATCACAAGCGAGCTTCTCACCGTTCGATATGGCCTCTGACCTCGCCGAATATCCATTAAGGGCCTGCGAACTATCGTACAACCTCACGAGCAGCCCGCAGCCTGTTCCCAGCGAAGCCACAATTCTATCTTCGGAGCAGAGCATTTGCACGGATCATATGGTTGTTGCGTCATGGAAGCATGGCATCGGATGGTCGAAGCCTGAGTTGAAGCCCTATGGTCCGCTTAACCTACTCCCGACCGCGTCCTGCCTTCATTACGCCACCGAGTGCTTCGAAGGCCTGAAGGCCTACAGAGGTCACGACGGCAAGCTCAGAGTTTTTCGCATCGAGCATAACGTTGCTCGTCTACGAAGCTCAGCCGCCAGGATCTCCCTCCCTACGTTCGAGCCTGGGGAAGTCAAGAAACTTGTTCTTGGCCTGTTGTCAGTAGATGCTGACCGCTGGCTCCCTGAGGAACAGTCTGGCGGCTTTCTCTACGTCCGTCCCACGATCATTGGTACTTCGCCTCAGCTTGGCGTCCAAGCGCCCAAGGAAGCCATATTGTTCATCGTTCTGGCATATATGCCTCGTCTCGACGTAACACCAGGGGGTATGCGACTGTATTCGTCTCCGAAAGACGCTGTCCGGGCCTGGGTCGGTGGTTTTGGATACGCAAAGATCGGAGCGAACTACGGGCCTTCGGTCTTGGTTCTACAGGAAGCTGCTGATAAAGGATACCATCAAGTCTTGTGGCTCTACGGAGAAGATGGAGAATGCACTGAAGCTGGTGGCTGCAACTTCTTCGTTGTATGGGTTCGCAAGGATGGCAAGACGGAGCTCATTACCGCACCCCTAGATGATAAGACAATCCTTGATGGAGTTACGAGACGAAGCTGCCTCGAACTTGCGAGAGAAAGACTTGGCGAGGAGATCTTAGTCTCAGAGCGCAAGTTCACAGTCACTGAAATCAGGGAGGCCGCGGCTGAAGGTCGTCTGTTGGAGTCGTTTGCCGCAGGCACTGCTGTGAGTACTTACCAATCATCGCAATACTCGATCTCTCGCTGACGAATTTAGTACTTCATCTCTGCAGTTTCCCATATTCGCCATCGCGGGTATGATATCAGTGTGCCAATGGGTGCCGCCGGGAAAGGAGCGAAGATCACTACCACACTTAAAGGATGGCTCACCGAAATCATGTACGGCTATATTGAGCATCCGTGGGCTACGATTGTCTCTACTTCTTGAACGAGAAAGTTTGGATCCTTGATGGGGCAATTCGAACCAGGCTAGTCAGTTATCTCCAACACACAATACATGGGGCAGGCTCAACGAAAGGATTATTGGCTAGCATCAGTCTTACTATCTCTGTTGTTAAGTTGCGTCGAATACCTTAGAGAGAACGAGCCTGCGAAACTCTGTAAATCATAATCAAGAGACGACGCTTCTCGACTGCTCGATTTTGGACCGGCAGAATTCAGTTGGTGCTCTCTTGCAGTGAATAAATCTTTTCCAATGTTCTCTACTCAGCTGATCTGGGACTTGCGGGCGGGGGGCAAGAAGCCTCTTTTTACAGCCACCCGAAAGCCCCCTAGCCATTTCCGGGCTATTTTTTCATATCCAGTATCGTTCGGATGTGTCCCATCCGCCACCAAATCTTCCATGGCGGGCCCGTCGTTCCTTTGCAAGTCGACGAACACAATTTTCCTGCCTTTAAGAGTCAATTGGCGTGCTAGTCTCTCCGCCTCAATGTTAAATTCCTCAACCCGCTGCTGTACGACCTCGTTCTGGTTGACCAGTAGGCTTGAGAGAATAATGGTTGAGCCAGGCGAGGCAACCCAGAGGGTGTCCAAGAGGTGAACAAGGCGGTATCGTGCTTCTGTCAACTTGTATCCTTGTAAACAATCGTTGGATCCGGCGTTCACAGTGAAGACATGCGGCAACAACTTCGCTGCTGATAGCTTCGCCCTGGCCTCGATTTGGTCGATCCTATACCCCCGCCAGCCTTCATGTTCGTTGTTAAAATGGTTGCCGGATCTACGGGATCCAACCATGCAGACATTGTAGCCGCAGCCGTGCAGTGACTCAGAGAGTTTCTTCCGATACCCGTTTTGATCAGAAGAGCCGACGCCGTATGTGACTGAGCCCCCCAATGGCATTAATCGAAGCACAGGTCGACATTCGGTTGTTGAGGTAAGTTCTGGAAGAAGGATGTCAGTTTGAATGACAACGTTCGAGTCATTTAGTGCATATCACAAAGGCCGCGAGTTTAGGATTGTACTAGGAGTGGAGGCGTACATACTGGGTTGGGTGCAGTGAGCGGCCTTCTGGCGGTGGAAACCGCATTTGGTGGCTTGCGAAAAGTAGCCGACGTTGACTTTACATCTGAAGTTGCGCAGCATTGAGCATATGAGAATCTGGCCCTAAAAGTAGAACCAAGTAAGCAATGCAGAAAGCAAAAACGCGGGGGAAAAGGGAAACCAAAATGGGGGACATCATTATCTCGTACTAGTGAGAGAAAGAGTGGTACACGGCGGTCGGGCAAACCATCTTTAGCCGAACATGACATAGCTCGGCGGGGAGCTTAGCGGCCGAAAACTTGCCGCGACTCTTGAGGTCTCACCTATCTACAAACACATCTGGCCAATGAATTCCTTGCGAGTGCTCTCCTCGAACAGCAGCCTCCAAAAAGTGAACATCTATCACTGGTTGGGATAGCAGCTCTTGCAACGACGGCTCTGGCCAAGGTACACCTGCTGCTGGGACTACCCCATCAGCTAAGTTTCGATCAATTTCCTGGGCGAGAGTATCGTCGCAAGAATTCGCTGCTCCATCTGGGAGGGATTGGGTATGTGCTTTTAGGTTCGACAACATCGTTGACTCCATTACTTCAACATGGCGACTATAATCCTGTGCCACCACGTTTCCAGCCATCTTTAGTTGGTCGAGAAGATGAGATGCCTCCTCGTAGACATCCCGATCAAGACGACTGCCTATCCCATCCAAGAGACTCGAAATGGCGAGGATCGTCAACGACGAGAAGAGGTGTTGTGTGAAGAAGCAATCGAAAGTCACAAAGGTTCCGTCGATCCACGCTCGCGTGAGTAGTCTTGTAGACTGATGAGCGCATCGTATGCATGCCTTTGACAGTGCTGTCGCTTCGGCAGGGATACTGGATGTTGCGGGAGACGAACCAGGACGCGAGCTGGCAATCTGGATTCGCAAAGCGTGCAGCAAAAGTGGTCGAGTAGCCAAAATCACACACTAGTGAAGATCAGCTTCTTGAAGGTACTGTAGAGGATACCTGATTGATCATGATGGCTAACCTGATAGAAACGAAGATGGAGAGAGACAATTTTATGATCATGAGGCTCGTTCAGAGACTTGTCTCCTATCTGTAACGGCCGAGGTAAGATTTCAAACCAGGATTGTAGATCTTTGAGGCAGCCTTGTACGCGGCTTGAGAGGTTTGCGCATGTACCTTCAGCTTGCGTTCGGACGCTGTAGACAGACCGAATAATGGAAGTAAGTAGACCAGCTAGTCTGATATCAGCAACATAATAATCAGAGTCACCATGGCTATCGGTCGAGCTCGAAGTAGATGGCTCGCAAGGCAGGTCAACACCAATGTCATCATCTTGAATTGCCGGCGGGTGATTTAGTTTCGCAGCATAGAGTCGGTCTATGATATATGCAGTCCAGAAGAGGCTTTTTCGATGTCGGCGAACCAAGGGGTCTGGCAATTGAGACTCCGGGATGTTGAGGTGTAGGCCTATGACAATAGCGACACGGACGGCAGTGCCCGCAAAAACGTACGCACTATATCGTCGGTTTAGGGCCATGGAGTAGAAAGACTGTCTAAAGGTTAGTCGCCGTTGGACGGTTCACGGGAAAGACTTACCAAAAGAAGATAAAGCTCAACGGTTTCGACTTCGGGGCGCTCTTCAAGGTATCCTAAAGCCTTGGATGCTTGCGCAAAGTATGCCATTCCAGGGAAACCGTGGACACCGGTGGATTTGGAGATGTAGAGCTCCCCGATAGCAAACAAGGCCCAAGTTCTACAACGAAGGACTATCGCTTCCAAGCTCGCGTCATGATTGTTCTGCTTCCAACTTTCTGTAATTGCTTGTGTTTCCACTATGTGATATGAACGCCCAATGTACTTCATGGCAGCCTCAAGCAGAAACTTAGCGCGAGAAGGCCCAGGCCATGGTGTGTTGACCTGAGCCAGCGACATCATGGACTCGTTGGAGGCATAATTCAGTCGTATGAGGTGGATAGGCTCGGGAGCTAACGGGTCCGTGATGACCTGGCGAAATCTAGTCGCAAAAGCGGCATCGGCAGCCTCGCCGATGAGGACAGGGCTTCTGAAGACATTCAGACTGTCGAACCATGGGTCGATACTGATTGCTGGACTTGTCTCGTTTTCCGCGGACTCTGTAGATGGTTCTGGCTGAAGGTCTAGAGGAGATTGCAGTGATTGTAGGGCACTTCCGTCGGGAGTATTTGTGTCGTGGGAGTCATCGATTTCCGCTGTGCGGGAGTCCAGCCGAGATGTACTCTGCCGCTTCAGTCTATCGATTTCCTGGAATAGTTCATCAAGTAAACTTGATCAACGGACCATCAGCAACAGAGACATAGCAATGAAATGGGGCCTTCAAGAAGGGATGTTGGCTCACCTTTGCGGGACCTTTACAGTCCTATTCCTTTGCGGAAACGAGCACTCGTTCGCTTTGTCAGACTGTTGGCAATTCTGACACGGACGGCCGCCGCTACACTTCACCTTCCTTTCGTGGCATCGATGACAACTATGGAAGCAGTGAGCAGTCGGGGGGTTCTTTTACTGGCATTGGGTCGCTCGGTATCGCCCATGAAGGACTCACGCGGTATTTTTTCCAGCGAGCAGAGCGCTGCGGATACTTCTAGTAGTACTGCCGGTAAGGGTTGATTCTGGCGTTCTCTGCATTTCGCCTGCTGATGCTGATGTTTCTAGGTATAATTGGGAAAGAGGATGGCATCTAGGTCCCATGCAGAGTGCTTTGTTCGTGCGCTCGGTGAAACTACGACCTGCCGGAAAGTTGCTTCAATTCTGGAATAGTTGTGGCAAAGGATTTCGGAGGTTGGACATTTTGCCGAGGGGACTACCAGCGTGGCCGAAGAGAGAGCAACAACCAACTCTAGAACAATGTTCTTTCCCACGATGGGCGTACTTTAGAGGATTCGGTCAAAACCTTCAAGGTGGGAGATATAAGAATGAGGCTTCCTCACAGGGAATAAACAAATTGTGGCAAGTGTCTGTACGTGAGGTCGCATATTCTGTTTTTCCAAACCCAACTTTTACACCATGACCATCGACTACTCTCATCACCACAACGACCGCCGGCTGTCCGAGGCTGCTGCAAAGGCCGCCGCTTCTTGCGTCCAGAATCTCAGTAATTGGGGTCCCGCCGTGAAAGAAATTCAGACGTGGCCCGAATATCGGCCTGAGCCACTTAGAGACCTGCCCCAACTCGCTAAAGCGCTTGGTCTTGGCAACATCTTCATCAAAGATGAGAGCAGACGGTTCGGTACCGAAATGGGCTCTTTCAAGGCTCTGGGTGCACCCTTTGCGGTGTATCGGATCCTTGCCGACGAGGTACACCGTCGAACCGGCGTTTATCCGTCGTCGGCCGAGCTTCGTACAAGCAAATATCATCCTATCACGCAACAAGTGACTGTCTGTGTGGCGACAGACGGCAACCAAGGGCGAGGACTTGCATACGGCGCCAAAGTCTTCGGGTGCCGCTGCGTTGATTACATCCACGGCCATGTCAGTCCCGGGCGTGCCAAGATGATGATGGATCTCGGCGCTGTTGTCATTCGAATCGATGGGGAATACGACGAGTCTGTGAGCCGAGCCAAAGAAGATGCGCGAATCAATGGGTGGCACTTCGTCAGCAGCACGTCTTGGACCGATTTCGACCACGGCATTCCTCAGGATGTCATGCACGCATACATGGTGGTCGTTGAAGAGGCGCTCGAGATGATACCAAGCCTTCAGGATATAACCCATGTTGTTGTATGTGGTGGGGTGGGCAGTATTGCGGCAGCCATCTTTTTGGGTTTCTACAAACACTTCAACCAAATTGCTGCGTCAAGCAACTCAAATACGTTTCCGCGCTGTATCGTTATCGAACCGACCGAGGCAGACTGCCTGCTTCAAAGCGCCAAGGCTGGAGAGTTGCGTCCGAGTAACAGCAGTCTGAGAACATTGATGGCCGGGCTCGCATGTCGAGGCCCATCTCCCGCTGCGTGGAAGATTCTTGAATGGCTTACTAGTGATTTTATTGCTGTCCCTGACCGCGTTGCGGTGGATGGAATGATAGCCTTGGCGGAGGGCAAGCATGGTGACATTCCTGTCGTTTGTGGAGAGTCATCAGCCGCGACCATGGGTGTCCTACTCAAGGCGGGCTGTAATGAGGCTTTTCGCGAAAAGCTGAGTCTTGATGCGCGCAGCCAGTGCGTGATTTTCGGTCTAGAAGGAGCAACAGATTCTTCAATCTATAAGGATCTCGTCGGCAAGTCGCCTGACGATGTTTTCAAGGCACAAGATAGATTTTTGCAGCTTCATGAATAGTAACAAGCTCACATGCTTTGACGAGCTTCGTCTAGTCCACACCTCTCAGTTTACAAAGTTCGCGTCCTGTCTTATTGTAAGAGATACTCAGTAGTAGTTCAGCCCTTTACAAACCAACTTCAGAAAACCATGTCTCCTAGGATGAACCCAGAGCTTAGATCTCTGCATCGGACCTCAAGAAGTTATTCGGAAATTTGAACCCGTTGTCATGCTGAAAATTTGCTCTGCTATTCTCAGGCTGGGATCGAGCTGCTGTCCGACGGTTCACAATTGTGATTGGGAGCCCGTTCGGCGAGGGAGTGCGTTGCCGAGCGTCAAGACCGGGATTGGCCAGGAAGTCCGGCGTGAGTCAACATGACCGGTCGCTCCGCTCCGGCCGGTCAAGGAGCGTTTCGCCGAGCGCCATTCGGTGGAAAGAAGCCGCGCCGATGGGCAAGAGCATTCACACTAACTATCAACGCCGCATCATGATAGCACAAATCAGCCTCTCCAGAAATGATGGTTTTGACCATCCTGCGACGTTGCTGGAGCGTCCATGTGACCAAAGTTTGTTTGATACATGTAGAGCAAAGTCCGTCGTCTGATGATTTAATGAAAGCCAAAACGATATCGCATCCAAAATTGCCGCCTTCAATGCTACTATGAGAGGGACCAACAGCTCACATCTAATCATGAAATCCGCCGTCAACACTCAACAAAAGATAGGCCAATCCCCGGCTGGCGCAGCTGACTTTATGGACCCTGATGATCTGAGGACTGAATTTGCGATGGCAATGTCAGCAATGTATCAGCAAGAAGTCCCGCTATATGGAAACTTACTCGATATTGTGCGCCATGTCAATCAAGATGTCCTCCGCAGAAAAGAAAAAGACCTCGCCGTCGACACGGTCGCTATCAGGGCAAGCACGGAGAGGCTCACGCTTGAACGTCATGGTGCCATTAGGCTAGGCACACCCTACGAGCTTCGGACGGTGAAGCGCATCTTTGCGGTTCTGGGGATGCACCCGGTTGGGTACTACGATTTATCCGTCGCCGGCTTGCCGATGCATGCCACGTGCTTTCGCCCTACGAGCGTGCAGAGCCTTCATCGGAACCCGTTCCGAGTCTTCACTACCCTGCTCCGTCCAGATCTCCTCGCCGACGAAGATGCGCGCCAGCTATCGGGGAAGCTGCTCCAGAGAAGAAACATATTCACGGCCGAGCTCCTTGAAGTTCTAGACACTGCCGAGTCCCAGAATAGTAGGCTCACAGAAAAGCAGGCTGCCATTTTCATTTCCGAAGCCTTGCGAACTTTCAGTTGGCAGGCGGTGGCTGCCGCCACGTTCGACCAGTTCAACATTTTGAAGGCCGAGCATCCTATCTTGGCCGACATTGCATCTTTCCAGAGCGCGCACATCAACCACCTCACCCCCCGAACCTTGGACATTTCGGCTGTTCAGACTGCTATGAGGGAGGCCGGCATGGCTGTCAAGGCACGCATCGAAGGGCCGCCCATTCGCAAGTGTCCCATTCTTCTGCGCCAGACTAGTTTTCTGGCCCTTGAAGAATACGTCCACTTCAGAAGAAGCGACAGTTCCGGCCTGGTCTTCGCTTCTGATACTGAGCCCGGACTGATCAAGGCCGGCCATACGGCTCGTTTTGGGGAGGTTGAGGAGCGGGGCGCCGCCGTCACGGATCGGGGACAGGTACTTTACGAACGACTACTGCGAGAAACCATGGAGATGACGGCGAATGCTGGCCCTGAAGAGGCTGATGGACTCGCAAAAGATGTCTTCAAGCAATATCCTGATACTTGGACTGAACTGAGGAAAGAGAGACTGATACATTGCGAATATGTCTGCGTCAGAAAAGTGTCCCCGAACGAGGCCGGGCGGCAACTCGATGAACTCACTCTTGAGCGCCTCATTTCACAGGGTGTTATAGAAGCACGCCCGATCACTTATGAAGATTTCCTCCCGTTTTCGGCGGCTGGGATTTTCCAGTCCAACATTCAATCTCGAGACAAAGATGGACGACCGCTGCAGATGAAGCATCCCAAGCCGGACTTGCCCGGTCTCGTGGAAGCACTGGGGGAGGAGCCAGTGAATATTCAAAACTGGTACTCTGTCATCCAGAATCGGAGCCTAAAGGCCGTGGCGGAGAAGCTGGGGATGACCGCGGCGTGGCCTTGTTGAGAGCAGCTGAGATAGAGGGTGTATTGAAATTACGGGCTGGTCAGGCTAGCCAACCGAACTTCATCATCAACATTGCATAAAGGCTTCAGAATTTTGATACATATCGAAACTATCGAAACAAGAGCATGTTTGTTGAGTTCCAACTCGACCTTTCCTATGCATAAGATATAGAGACAGATTATAACATGAATCTACTTAAACTCAGTTTCCAAGTCATTAATGTGAAAACTTTACTCTGACGTGAAGGTTTTCGAACAAACAATTTGATGAAGCTAGTGCTAGTCCGAGAGGCGCGCTGTTCGAGTCCGAACAGGGGCGCGAAGTATCAAATACGTTATCACCAGCTCTTTCTTCTTTGCATTTCCTTTCCTCCTTTTTCTCTTTTTCGGTTCTCTTTCTTTTCTTGCGAACCATCTTTAATCAGTGTTTTTGAGGCCTGTTAGTTCTATTTATGGGAGACATTGAAGAGCGGGACTCCACTGCTAGGATCGGCTTCACTTAGTTCCTCGGCCGGTAATATGAAACACCGTGGGGAAGCTTGGTCGGTCGTGAACGTACAATGTTCGAGCACACAGCGATAACACTCAATCTTTTACTAGACACTTCTCTCTAAGCTGCAGGAATAAATGTGCATCCAGCAATACTGCGGAACGCGATCGCGGGGTCGAGACAAGATTGACATCGTTTCAAAGCCTGCACTTGTGGCGCTGTAAACAACGTTTCTCGAAGCGACTAGCGATCCTCCGACTAGAGCCACGCCAACCCACAAAACAAGGGCAGAAAAAAGAACAGCCCACCATCCATCCCAAGTTTTCGGGACCGGACGACGGCTGTGGCTGCACCGTTGCCCACCCGTCGTCCGTGCAGACCCACAGACGGGAGCAAACGGCACCGCCTCACCTGTCAACGGTCTGCTCCCGATGCTTCCCGGTGAACGGGCGACCAGGCGTACCATCAGAACCCCCAGGCCTGGCTCTCCCGGCCGCAAGGCATCCACAAGATCTAGGCAAATGAAAGATCCTGTCGTATCCCGACTCGTGCATTCAGCCAGACATGGATGTCGCGCTTCCTACCAGCGTCAGCGGCTCTGCTTTGTCAGAAGTTGGAGCGAATCATCATCGCGCGGTCGGTCATTTGATTGCCCCGATTGAAATCGTGCCGAGGAGGAGCAGATAGATCTACGTGCTTCCCCCTGGATCCAAGATCTGAACAAATCAAAAGCTCGGGATTATGTTTCGCTTGACAAAGTGCCGGTTCGCCTGAGTCTCTGGGGACCAACCGTGAAAGCGTACTGGCTGGCTAAATCTAAACGGCTTCGCCTCGGGCCTAATATTCAGCTAGGAAAAAAATCATGCAGACTAAAGGCCACGAACTCGTGTTTGGACTCATCACAATGTCTCTGAACCTCTCATTCCTGAGAGCGTGAATAGCCAGCGATGCCATCGGCCCTTGTTCGGCCGAGTTCACCTCGCCCTGTAGGGCGTGCAGGGATAGCGTACTCCAAGTATGCGGCCCACTAGCAATTACCTTAGCACCGTCGCGGGGTTCAGTGGGGAAAATGGTGCAAGGTCTGGGTACCTACCTTGTAAACACTAATGCCAATCTCCATTCTCCAGCCTAGGATGCCCACTGCCCACTCTTCGTAGTGGGAGGAAAGTCGTGGGGGGAACAGAAGGTCTAGGATTTAGCAAAGCGGAGTACATACTGGTTGGTAGGTTGTTTGGAATGGTGCCAAGGTAAGGTAGATCGATAAGCACCACCCAAATGTGCGAGACCTTGACTTGACCAAGCAAAAGCAAAGTTTGGTTGGGGTCCAGGACCAGGATGTCGAAGATGGGCCGCGCGTGCCTTTCCGCTCGGCTTCGCGGATAGCCGACCAATGACCCACGGCTCCTCTTGGCAGGAGCCTTATTCCGTGGACTCTGCAGTCGAGACGCGCGTGTCTTTCGTGGACACTCGCGCGCTTTGCGTCACCGAGGTCCAAGGAGCTTCGTATCGGGCCTTTTTCCGCCTTTGCGTAATGATGAGTCGTCGTCGGCGCGGCGGGTTGTGCAAGTGACATGAAAGAGTAGAGTCGATACGAAGACAGTGTGTTTTTGTGGCGCCTTCCTCGATCGTAGATTGCGATTCACGGGTCGTCGTGGGCTTCGGTTCTTGAGCGGTTGCACAGGGTCGCTTGACTTGTGAGGGGGCCAGAAGGAATCTCAGAAAGAGGGGGGTATTCGGTCTGTTTTCAGATAAAAAAAACCTCGAAGCGTTTTATACATGACATTCCACCAAGCCTTTGGTATACCTCTAGCGAACACCGGATATTGATACATCCTTCCCTGATTACATAGTACTAGAGAGACTGAGCCCCATGAGTTGTTCTCTCTAACTTTGACAAATGAAGGAACGAGGAACGACATTATTACAGGGGCCATATGAAAGACAACGAGATTGGGCCAGCCAAAAGGAAAATATGGTGACAGGTTGTAGTGTACATGGGTTCTTGGTATGGTGGCGGGTTTACTCGAGCGCACGAGGGCTTCGTTGTAGTCGTTCACGGGAGTTGCGCGAAGCATGGACCAAACTTTTCTTTGGGATTCTGAGAGGTGGGTTGGGCATCGTGGAGGCGGGGAAATAGATTATCTTCGTTGTCCTTCTCGAATCTTGCGAGACGCCATTCTCGGGAGGATTTTCCGTCGGAGGGATGCTTCTCAGCAGCCTTGCTGCTGCTGCCGCCAGACGTCAGTCTCTGGCTAAGGAGAGTCTTTCTAGGACGGTTGAAGTAAAGAAGCAGTGTCTTACGAGCTTCCAGCATGGTTATGCTGAGAGGATGTGTGGCTGGCGGGCATGTTGACGATGCTGTGTATTTCTTGACGAGAGCTGAAGTGTACAGAGAAGGTGACGATCGTCAACCGTAGTGACGAAGATGAAGCTAAGATGTTGTTCAGAACGAAGACGTAAAGTGCTCTTTAGACGGATGATAAGGAGATGTCGGACTCCTTAGAGGGTATAGAGAGAGTAATAGAGAGAGTATAGAGCGACAGAGTGAATCTCACATTGTAGGCTGAGTGGCGGATGATAGAGTTTAAGTAAATGAAGGTGAAAGTGTTGCTGGAAACAAGAGAGTCGCTGGCGGCCCAGATCTGGACGCCTTCTGGAAGCGGTCAAAAGGGCAGAAAGGTACGCTGGGGGGGGGGGGGGAGATCAATGAGAGATTGGCGAAGGGCGACAGCGGCCAAGGCATAGACTGCGGCACTGAGTACCGAGAGATCTGGGTGACAGCTGCTTGAACACGCCGTTCATCTAGAGAAAAGGCAGGGGGGAGGTGGGATTACGGACGACCGTCCGGGATACTTGGCGACTTTTCCGGTACCCAAGTTCCCGTTTAGTGAAAGTGCAGGTATTTTGATATGTTGAGACCGGCATTTGGCCTCGTGCCTGACTGCCAGAAGAACTTGATTTGGTTTTCGTTGTGCCCTTAAGCACCCAATTTCCCTGCCTGCAGGATTAGCGGTGGGAGAAACTCAGGAACAGAGTCGTGTACATCGTTGAAGAGGTCAAGCAGTGGCAAATCTGACAGGTGCAATTCCGTAGGATGCATCAGAGTAAGACGCAGACCTCATTTCTTCTAGGGTGCTAGTGAAAGGGGAAAGACATGGTTGAGACACTTTTGAGGGAAAGGGTGGTGCGGATGCGGGAAAAAGGGTGTTTGGGGTGTGAGGAGAGGAAGCAACGCAAAGGTCGGCAGAAAATGGATGATGATTGTGCTTGACAGGTAATTAGGTCGTGTCCCGACCTGAGGTGAGGTGTCTACAGAGCAACAAGACCATCCTGGGAAAAGCCCCCAAATTGGACGGGGATGAACCAAAACTTTCCTCGTCGCAACTGCGACCGAGAAGCTTGCAGGCAGACTACTGCAGGGATTTGCTTCTGTCTTGTTTTCCACTTGGAGAAATGGCGCCCCATGGGCCAAATGTGTCAAGTTCACGCTCAGTGCATCCTTGAAGGAGAGAACAGGGCGGGCTCCATGAAATGCGGGGGAAAAGGGCGACAATTTTCTGGTAGCCTCACACCCAGATGCGTCTTGCTGCGCATCGGGCGCAGACGTGGTGAAGAAGCCCTTCAGTGCGGGAGGCTTGGTGCTAGAGGCGCTCAATGCTGAGAAGCGGTGAGCTTTCGAAGAGGCCAATCGTCTACCTCGCGCGCCACACTGCGTAATCGAGGTTGCCGATAACTAGAAATGATTGAGAAGGCTGTGAGTTGCTTCTGGAAGAACTGGGTGGGGGGCGTTTGGTGAAGGAGACCGTTCTCCTACTCGGGCAACCACTCGTAGAAAGCGCCATAGGATGCTTGTCCTCGTTCGTGGATCCCGGGTAGCAGCGGGGAGCGGGCTGGTCATCGATCAGCCCGCAATCGTCAAGTTGAAGGCGGGCGTAGTTGGAGGCGAAGACGGGAGGTGAACGCTGGGTCTGAGATGGACGGGCGATGGTAGAGCGAGGTTTGGTGGTCGAATTTGGCCCCTGTAGCTACCTGGCCAGGGTAGATAGCGTCATTCATTAGGAAAGAAATACAACGGAGTGAACAACTCACGATCAGCAGATTAGATTCAAAACAAGCCAAAGTTGCCGTAGGTCTTTGCGGTTAGTCGAAGGGATCAAGGCAGGGTTGTCGCTCCGGGTCGTAATCCGTGTCCGTACCGGCGGAGGCGACCTTTGGAGAAAGCACGCTACCTTTGACTGACGGGTGCCAGGCAAATCTGTTGAGATAAGGCCGTGATAGCGTGAAAAAGTGACTTGAGGTAGAGCGGGCTGAGAGCTGAGCCCGGTAAAGCCGCGACATGGCGATGAAAAGGGCGGAGACGAAGTCGGCTCGGATGGAACCATACGAGAGGACGGGGCGGTAAGGACGGACTGCCCGTGAGGAGTGAGTAGGTACCTTCCGTGTGGCACCCGGGGCAGGAAAGAGCAGGGTCATCTGCTTCCTCCTACCTGCCTTGCCTTACTCCAAATTTTGGATAGGTACCTGAGGTACCTGATGTTTTGTGCCAGACGGGATGGAAAGAGCTGCAGGGTTGGGGAACGGATGGGGTGAGATGGAAGGACCACAGTGGTGAGTGTTCCACTTTGGGGTTGAAGACGTACCTCAGGCAGGTCAGATCCAGTAAACGTCCCATCCCTGCTTTTCGGCCATCTGAATTCACGCCCATCCATCCCTACCTCTTGTCTTTTTCAAGGGCCACCCATGTTTTGAGCTTCTACCCTCTTCTGGACGGTTGTCCGGGCCGAGCTCTCGACGATCCTCCTCATCCTGACCATCTCCATTTCGTACGCCTGCACGGTCTGGTATCCGTACCTTACGGATACATCTGGTCTCATCAGCATCAAAAGTACGTACTTGATTGTCTCGTGCGGCATGCCTCAGGCACGGATGCATATCTCCGGCCCAGCAAGACCAGGGACTCGCAATGTCGTAATCTCCCTCCTTCACCTTGTCAACTCTCCCCCTGTCGGATCCTAGACTTTGACACTTAGACTTGACTCCAGGCTCTATCCGCACGGCACCTCCCTCTCCAAGCACCCCGGGACCTTTGACGCCAAGTTGGTGGTAAATCCTGACCGGCAACAGTAAACATCCGAGCCCTGTATGTACGCAACAGGATACCTTTCAACCCGACACCCTCGACGGCAATGCCACGGTGCCACGTGGCATACAATTTCTCTGAGTCCTTGGCTCAATACCTAGGCCCTGTCATCGCCTTGTCGACACACTACCTTGCCCTAGACACTAAAAAGAGGATCCCCAAAGAAGCCTAGAAGCTATGATGCGTGACATCTCGCCCACATCAGCGCGAGCCGGACGCACTACGCTTTTGTCCGCCATCTTTTTGGTCCTCTGCTACGGTGCTTAGATGCGTCGTTAAAGTGTGCAATGAGCCTGTCCAGCCCTCTGAGCCTGGTCTGCCGTCTGAACTTGAGATTAGTGTCAGGAATGCATCGGGTCGTGCAGCCCTAGCGACACACCCAGGTTGGCCATGACTTGATGGTCAAGATACATCTATAAAGTGTTTCTATCTAGCTCATAGCTGACGTTCGTGGCAGAAGATCCGCATAATATTTTGTGACCGAAACAGTCCCAGCCGCGGGATGTCAGACTCGGTAATGATCGCTCAACATCAATATGTTCCATGTTCTTACACATGGATTGTGTGGCGCCTCTGGAGTACCGTTCGAACCCGAGTAACTGGACCGACGGAATACCGCGTCCCACAGTTATGCAAGCAACCGTAGACCATAGAGCAAATGCGAGAACCACGTTCAACAACGCAACGCCGACTCACTCACCAGGCGTACCTGATGACCCTTGCTGTAGTCAACCAGCTCCCTAAAGATTCCGCTGCGAATGTGTCCCCACGACGCGGAAGACCGAGATGATATCCTTCTTCAATCCGCCTCACCGCCGCGACTGGGGTTGTTAATTAGATGGTGGCCGTGCATCATGCGGCCGTACCAACACGCCAAAGTTTTGCCCACCTGGTCCTGCCTGCTGGGCGGCAACCACCATCCCTGACCGGTCTTGGGTTCACCAGCCCATCGAAATATGGCCCCTCCACCTCTTGGCCACTATCGAGCTAAACAACAAATCTTACCAATGAAAAGGCCCTAGGACTTGAAACACGCCACATCCATGAAGCATGTCCAAAGCCCGCCATGGACATTCTGAAACCTAACAACCAAGACAGCCTCGTATCTTCCACGCCATCTGGCGGTGAGTGACGAAGAGAAAAGTGACATTTCCACCGGGCACCTTCTTTGCAGATCGATAAATGCAATCGACCGTTTCCGTAAAGCTCGCTTATTCTTCATGGATCGATAGCGGGCCTTAGTTTTACTTTTTCCAATTCTGCACTTTCATCATTGCTTTTTCTTCTTGACGGCCGTGGGACCTACATGGGGTTGACCGCTGCTTTCCGGGCTTGGGACAGCCACTTGCCAGATATTGCGAGGCAAGAGAGGCAACAGGCATCTTGATCTTTTTGCGGCTGTGCTGGTCACGTTGACAGCACCATGTTCGATTCTGATTATGAGCTTTTACGCCCAGGTCACAACGAACTAGTATCTGACCGGTTCTCATACTTTTGAGCCTCAGGAGCTTACCCCTGGACACCTGCACTTTCTGGTGTCACCCTTCGATACAAGGGCAAATGCCGGAGCGATCAAGCAAACATCTCGGAAGAACGCCGCAGCCCCTGGGGAACACCCTCGCAAAATGCGCCTGCGGGAGCGGCGAGAACGGGTGCGCCGTCTGGCTCCCCTGCTGCGCCGCAATATGCCGACTCGAAGCGGGCGCGCAGGCTCTCGACCCCTGGCTCCTCAGTCACTTTCATTTGTCAGACTCTTTTCCAGTCTAGATGGTTTCGTGAGTGGGTCACTCACAAAGCAACTCACAAAGCAACCCAACTCCGTGCCACACGGAAACCGAAATGGGACACGTGCAGCTTACGCCTCGCTTCTATCGTGATGCGGCAAGTGACATTCTTGCCGCTCCTCCGCGCTTCTTCAGACCGCTACTCTGAATATCGATCCAGAACAGGATGCAAGATCCTGCCGGTCAAACGCCTCGCTGCGCGACACCCTTTGTGTACTTGTTAGTACCTAGTGACTACATATTCGCTTCATCGGTCAATACCACGCCAAGGCAGGCTTCCTCGGAGCCTTGCTAAGGTATAATCGCCGACCTCGAAGGATTCTCAGTTTTCGGTCGTCCGACTATATGGAGCTACTTCCAGTGGACACTTGTGACTGGTCAGTATGACCATGCATTTTCGTGGGCAGTGTTTCTATGACCTCTTTGATTGTATCGACTCTCTTGAATCCTGGCCAAAGGTCGGCGCATCGGTCACGGATCTTTTGGCGAATCAATGCTGATCAAAGTCTGATAGCTTCCTTTGTCAGACACCATGTCTGTGGACACACAAAGACCCTGGAGAAACAAACTCGAACACAATGTCTCCGTACTTTGTGCTCCAGAATCAAAGCATCACGATCAAGGTATGAGGCCCGAGTAGTCCAGATCCTTCGAAGAGAGTCTTTATAAGTCCAGAGGTTTACCGGCTGTTATTTGCTCTTCTCTACTCTAAAACAACTCAGACATCAAAAGCCAACAGCCCACATACACTCACACAAACATATCAGGTAAAACTCCAACCCCACTCTCTACTAACATCATCCACAGAACCAACCCCCAAAAATGCCTCCCAGCGAACTCCTCAGAGACATGCTCGCTCCCCGCGTTCTCGGTAACTTCGACGGTGTCACCTTTGTAGGCGCCAAACGCCTTCTAGCAGGCCTCATCGTCGTCTCGGTCATCTGCGTCCTCGCGATCTACCTCGCTATTCACTTCCGCATCTGCCTCGCCCGCGACAAGAAATCCTTCCGCTCCCTGGCCATCGACTTTGAAACACTCGGAAAGGTCCACGCGACGCTCAAGAACCAGCACGAATTCATCCGCGAGGACTGTCGCAACTTGCAGATGACGCTCGACTTTTACATCAAGGAGTACGGTCGGCATCCGCGCCATAATCAGTTGCGGTTCGAGCCTGGGCAGGGGAAGCAGACTTCAGGTGTGACTGATGTCATCAACTCTCCTTCGGGTAATAGACGCTTGCGTGAGGACGAGGATGTCTTCGTGATTGAAGAGCCTTCGCAGGAGGATTTGAATGGTGGGGTTGAGGAGGGTGATGTTGCGGATGGCGATCGTGTTCCGCGGTTCAGCGAGGAGGAGAAGAAGAGGAAGCAAGGTAAGGTGCCGCGTTTTCAGGCTATCGCAGCTGGTATGCAGGATGTTCCGCTGACCCCTCCCATTCAGGGGCAAGGTAATAGGTAGTTTCATTCCTGGATAATATCCAAAACGTGCCGTCACTCGCTGGGTCCTGTCAAAGTTCTGTATCTCATGGGGAAAAGCTTCTTGCGTTTGAAATCATTGATACATTGTTCTAATCTAAGCTCGTGACTTGATCTGCTGCTTGACCCATTGAAGTTTAGTCCGACACAGCTCGAGTATTCCTGCTATGAAATCTCATGTTCCGTCAAGGACCACCGAGATCCTCTGTATTCGTGGCAGCTCTCACTATCTTGGAAGCCATCGCATAAGGTATGCCCGTCCTTCTTAGGGGTTCCACTCCCGTTAAAGCCCCAATTCCGCTTCGACGTCTCAACTATAAAGAGGACACATTGTTAGAATCCGCTACGTTTTCTCTCTCATCGCCCTATCAGTGGCTCAGTCTTTGTCGTCTCGAAGCCCTTGTCCGCATGGAAGCCCATGGTCAAGCTGCCGCTGACCTTTCTAGCCCATTTCAAGGTGCATTATGAGTGGAGACCTAGGATATGAAGTCTTGAAAACAGTCCTCCCCGGAGGAGAACCCGGTCAAACACAAGATAAATCACTCATCTGCTTCTCTAAATCCCTCAAACCCATCTAAAATGCCGTCTTCCTCTGCTAGGAGTGTGTCTTAGAGTGCTTGTTATGCTATCTTAATAATTTCTTTAATTATAAATACGTTAAGGAGAGTTTGAGAAATAAGGAAGTAATATGGCTGAAGGGTTTCACATTACAGTTATCATAAGGGTCATTATAAGATAGACTAGGAACCTGCTTCGCTTGATTCTTCTACTCGATCTAGAACTTCATGTTCCTTTCCTAAAGGTGTGTCTTGAAGTGCTTGGCACGCTATCTCAATAAGTTTAACGTATCGGGTCACGAATACGTGAGCGAGAGGCAGAGATTAGAAAGTAAGATTTTTAACGAGTTCCACATTACAGTTGCAACTTGCAGGAAGGGTTCAGTCACTAGCTAGGGGTACAGGGGCAGTGCACACAGTCTCACTGCGCGATACAAGCCCCCGCGCCCGTTGTTCCGCCAGGACTGGCTCCAGCACTGATCGAGCAGCCTTCGAGGTTCTTGATGAATGTGCTTTATACAGAGGCGGCGCAAACTGAGAAGGAAAAAGCAGCAGAAATATACCAAATCTACATTCTCAGCTTGAATCTAAATCATGCTCAAGACGGAGTCTTGTCTTGCTAATCGTTCTTATCGAAGCCACTAGTGCTCATTATGTCATTGACCTCAAAGGTGCTACGTAGCTTGGATGGGCAAGAGGTACCCGAAGTGGCTGTGGACTACGACGGTAGCAACGCTTTCCCACTCGTGAACTATTCGTGAACGAACGTAAGAGAAGTCGTGACGGGAATAGCAATCAAGAGATCTCATAACATCCTTTCAGTGTTCAGGACAAGTTGAGCACTGTGTGTGGTTGGCTCGACTCTCCCATCCCAAGTATAAAGGTGCAACCAAAGTTTAAGTCGGGCTTTGTAGTTGCGTACCTTGCGATTGAGGCCGGGGCTTTACCTTATGTTATACCACGTGTAGTTGGGTGCCGGTTGCCACTTTTGCCTGCTCAAGGGGTTTCCTCTTCACAAATGCGTGCACAGGTGCCAACCACAGAAACGTGTGATGAGAAAGGCGTCTGAGAAAGAGAGCGTTGATGGTATAGATAACCTAAGGTTTGTTGAACAATTACAGCCAAAGAATGAGAGTTTCTTAACGCAATGTCACAATGAAAACAAATAAGCTAGTCTTCACTTTCTATTGAAGAAAGATGTGGTCCGAGCTTGAGCTTTCAGGAATCAAGGTCTTGACAACTCGAACTCTCAAAGACCTGGCCACGTTTGAGGTCGAATGGGTGGAAGAAACAAGAGAGCAAAGAGCACAAGACTCGGAGAATTCCCAATACAATGTCGTCTTTCACTCACAGCCAACTCGGCCAGGATCCAGTCTTGGTCCTCGAGACAAGGCATTTGTGAACTCGGCCTCTTGTTCAGTTCCTGGTCACAAAGAAAAGAACAACAAAGCCTGCTGCGGATGAAACGTGTTTGGAAGACTCGACTTCGATGGAACTTGAAGAACTGTACTTCTGAAAAATGTTTCTATATAGGTTCTGGTTGTAACCCAGTCATTGATGCAACTTTTTCACATCCTCATCACACACTTCTTCATCAATAAGCTTCTATCAGCAATTTATACAGGTGAGAGCTCCCTCGACATTATTTGCTAACATAAAAGCAGGCCCCAGATTCAGGTCTCATCTCCTCTCCCATACAAGAACGTTCTGTCCTTTCAACTCTTCTTTTGAAGCGAGCCTAAGGCGGCTTGTGCCATGCTACATGTACCCAGATCTCTCCGGTTACTGCTTGTAAGTCGCGTCATCCCTTCAGCTCACTGACAGAAATTAGGCCCTCGACGAGTCGGCATAAGCTTTTATCACTTGATCGCACCTGTCACTTGTGAGTTCTCCAATCCCTGCGGTCTTCGCTAACCATCGCAGCGCCTGAAACTCTTACGGGCCACAACGGCTGATCCTCAAGGGAGTCACCTTTCAGCGTTCGTTCTCCCTCCCCTCCTCTGCTAAATTGGGCAGCAATTTGGACCATCGCCTCTGGAAATCGATGCTATTCCTTCAAGTTCGAACGTGAGTCTCTTGCATCCTTTTCTAGAATACTAATCATAGGCTCTTACTAACACAGACGAATGCCGCATTGGACCTGTTTTTATCTCATAAGTCACCCTCCGTTTCCTGCTTCGTATCTAAACAAATTTAGAACTTGATGTCCCCATGCCGTTTAGTATCCGTATTCAAGTTATCCGTAAGTCCTCCCTCCCTCGTCACGCTAACAACTCCAGGGTGAATACTAGCCTAGCTATGCATCTGTCGTCTTTTGTTCTGTGAGTCTTCTACTTCCTCTTATTCAAGATTAACCATAGGGCAGGCATCACGCATCGATTCACGTCATATCAGAACACAACTATGGCCAGGTAGACTGTAAGTCTCTCCAGCCCCCTCTAATACGCTAAAATCAATCCTCTCCAGGTCTCTTGCAACAGAATATCAAGTACTCAGGCGCTTTAGCGATAAGTAGGTAAGCACCTCAACCCCTGATACTGACGCGGAAGCCTTGAACCAAACCCTACATCATCAAACGCGCATCTACCGACGATAACTACACCCCAAGATTCCGCGGAGTGAGTGCATAGACGATCGGGTAAGTACTCCTACTCTCGCAAGTTGTCGGCTGACGTAATAGCCCGGACGACGAATCCCCTAGGGCCTTGAGCCCTCAAGACGAAGAACACGAAGCTTACAAGCTGCGGGCCGAAAAGTTCTGTACCACCGCGGCGATCGATCTGAACGATACGAAGCGAGCCGATTCCACCGACCGAATGCACATGAATAACGGCAAATGATCTGAAAGAGCCGGGATATCTGTTTGTCTTCATTTTTGTCAGAGGAGTTGGTGGAAGGCTTGTGGATGCTTGGTGGTTTAAAGGGGACATACCAGGCTTGGAAGAAAGAATGAGCAAAGGGATCAAGTTCGAGCAATCTTGCTCAAGTCGGTCCTTTGCAGCAGAGTGCTCGTCATCGAGACAGCTTGGATAAACACGAGGCATGCACTCTTTGTTATCAAAATGGAAAAATTCATGTCGTTTTGTTCAATGGGGATGAGGAAATTCCAATACCTAACGCCCTAAAGTTACACAAAGCTCTAGCAAGATATCCCTTTGCGGCCGTAGCAGCCATTATTCATCTCGTCGTAGCCAGTTTAAAAGAACTTGCTCTTCAGCCCACCCAGGACCACATTCCTCTTCTGCTTGTTGATGTATTTGCCAACGTCGTCCGCCCAGCCTTGGCTCTGATTTTGCAGACTATCCATGTTATCGCTCATGATGTTCAGTTTCTCCGTGCGCTCGTTAAGCTGCCTCGTCAGATAATCGCCCCAGCCTTCGTTAGATCCTCCCGCATTATTCGAGCCGGGCTGGCCTGCAGAGCGGGCAGCTCTCGCCTCAGCTGCCGCGGCGGCCATCATCCGCCGGCTTGGCGGGCGATTGGGGTCGATGAGGAGGTCAAGGTCTGTCGGGGAGATATGCTGTGTGCCGGAGAGCCACTGCATGTTCGAGATTGTAGGGCGCGGGGGTGTGACGAGCTCGGGGTTGACGAGGATGTCGTCGCTTATCTGAAGATCTTTGCCAGTACCCCAGACATTGAGAACGGCAATCTCACTGGGCCCAGTCCAGCCGAAAATGTCGCCAGTCTGCGTCACTACGGACGATAGAGTGCGACTGCCATCGAGCATGGGAAGCGGCGCGTTGCCAATTTCCTTGAGACCAGGAATGGAGAATGCACGAGTCGTTCGATCACCAAAAACACCGACAATGGCGAAGCCGTGAAGCTCAAACTCAGTGACGTTGGCTGCATCGCATAGGATGTCGTCAAAGGTCTTGGAAGCGCCCTTCCCGCCGGCGGGCTTAAAGATTCGGATTTCGGTTTGTGTCACTAGTCATTTGTCAGTATCAGCCAGCGCAAGAAGTGTCGTACCCAAGGGGCTTACCAGCAACGAGAACACCATTAACCTGCTGCCCGTTTCTGAGTCCCACTACGATCGGACCTGTTGCAAAAGCAGGTCTTCCAGAGTCTGCTTGGATGGGGCAGAGTGCCACTACCTGCCCATCAAAATGTTGGACGCCAGCTAGCTTGACGGAGTAGCTATTTCCAGACGGTAACAGCTTGAACGTGGCCACTTTGCCGAGGTTCGTTCCCACAAAACAACAGATGCTAGAGTAGTTGTCGCCTTCTAACGTCATGACGCTGAACTCAATGGCCACCGGCCACTCCTTTCCATGGGCGTTCCCATGAGATCCTTTCAAGAAAGAAGATCTCTTGGATTGCTGAGCGAATTCAGTCATGGAGATTTGGAAGATGACAGAGGGACCACGCAAGTCGATGACGCTGAAGAAGCCACCCTCAGAGCCGACGCCTACGAAGCCCACGTCTG